TGATGTAGTCATTATGTTAATCAAATAGGATGCAGTTTGAACAGCATAGGTCCAAACAGACGATGGTAGTTTGGCATGTTGTAATAAGGTGATGGTAGTCTTTATAAGATGTCTATATTTTCTCTCAGCCAATCCATTTTGGTTAGGTGTGTATAGACATGACTTGTGATGAATTATACCCTTATCTGTAAGAAAAAACTGAAACTATTTGCTACCATACTCTCCCCCCCCTCCCCCTCCCCCAAATCACTTGGAGAATCTGAATGGACGTTGAAAATTGAGTTTGAACATATTTTTAGAAGGTAACAAATACAGAATACAAGTCACTTTTATTGATTAATGAAAAAACCAACAATGCCTTGTCCATTCATCAACAATTACCACATAGTACATGTATCCATCTACTGAAATACAAGGAGAAAGACCCCAAAGGTCACTATATATGGTATGAAATGGTTTTATAGACTTATGAACACTGTGGGGAAAGGGAAGTTTACAAAATTTGCCTTGAAGACAATTATGACACATGACAGATGAAGAAACTGGTTTACTTTGGACATGTGCTTTTTGTAACATCAATGCAACAATATTATTTATAAGATGACCTAGTCTATGATTCCAAGTAGAAAAGAAAACTAGCTGACCAAGATATGCTCGAGGTTGATGTTTGTTGGTTGTGAGAACAGAATGAGAAAATGCTAAAGGAATTGGATAGAGTCCATTACCGCACAATTCTTTGTAAAGGATCCTCCTTGTGGCTTTGTCCTGAATCCAAAAGCAAAAGGCATAAAAAATTAACCAACAGTTGTTATCCAAACAAATCCGATGAACGGACAACAAATTTTGAGTTAACTGTGGAACATATAGAACTGAATTCAAGTTTATTGGCTTTACTCGTGTATGAATAACAGAGTTACCAACACATGATACTGACAAACCTTCACCATTAGCACTTTGAACTGTTTCATTTGTTGGATAAGGTGTGGCCAGAGATAAGTTGGATAAATCTGCAGTCATGTGATTAGTTGCTCCAAAATCAGTAAACCATACTTGAGGTAGACATTGAGATATGGATGTCTGAGATGGTTGCATGACAGTATGCATAGCTTGCATTGGGGATTCTTGAGAGTGATGATACTGAGCTAGAGAGTGTCCAAATGATGAAGAAGACATCTTAGGAACATTGAGATAAGAACCAGCACCAATAAAGTTTGGACCTTTATCATTATAGAAGCAGTACCATATGGAGTGATTTGTTTTACCAAAAATGTGGCACTTGGATTTCTCAGGAGGCTTAAATCCAAAGAATAGGGCAGTGTGACCTTCACTGTTGCACAATTGACAAGTATGAACAAGAGGAGCAGATTGAGAGGTATACTAGGAAGTGGAAAATTGACCAAGAACACCTGGAGTTAGTGTGGGCAACACATGAGTTTGTGTATAAAATTATGGTCTCGGATTAAATGTTCGTTGGCCTTGATGAAACTTGCCATTGCCCTTGTTCCTATTGAAAGGTTGATAGTTGACATTAACATAAGAAGATTGTCCATGAGCTCCATTAGACTACTGAAAAGATGGTGCAGATGACACATGAGGTCCGGAATTTGCAACCATAGCAGTGATACATGATAGTGCAGCAGTGAGGTTATCCACAATACTCTCTTCAGCTAATAACTGAGATCGAAACTCTTTCAAAGTAATAACACTCTCTCTACCCCTAACCACACATCAAAATGTATTATATTCAGGAGGTAGGCCATTCAATGCTAGAATCACAGTATCTTCATCAGCAAAGTACACCCATGCAGCTGGCAAATAATCTCTAGCCTTTTTTATTTTATGGAGATATTGACTGATAGTATCAAATCCTTTTTGGATATTCTGCAAATTTGACTTCATTTGGAAAATGCTTGTCCTTGACATAATGGAAAATTGTTCTTTTAATCAAATCCAAAGATCTTTAGAGCTAGTACTACCAATCGCACAAGACATAGCAACCGAAGACAAGGTCACAGTAATAAGTTGCATAACAACCCTATCATGCATTTTCCATATCAATAAAGTATCACAGTCAACAACAGATGAGGAGTCAGAAGAATTTATACTAGTTCAATAGAGGCAGCATTAGTAGGACAAGGATGAGATCCATCAACAAATCCTATGATTCCATTGCTTTCTAGCAACAGTTACATCTGAAGTTGTGCTGCAATCACCATTGTTGCAGTAAAGAACTAAGCAATTCACTGAGAACTTATCACAAACACTTGAACTACACAATGCAGAGAGAGGAGAAGAAGAATCAATCACATTCGTGATCAAGTTGAAAAACCCTAGAAATTGGGATTGTACAAGAAGACAAAGAAATCTTGAAGAATCAAGAAACAAAGAGATCAAAGATAGCCGAAGACCAAGTTGGATCCAGAGATAACGGAAGAAAGAAGCCAGATTGAAGAATCTACATAAGCGTTAGAGGCCATTGATACCATGTTAACCAATATCAATTGAAAAACTACGAAGAACAACTTCTAGAGAGAGAGAGATTGAGATATCAGGAAGAGAGAGAGAGAAGATAGAGAAATGAACTTTCTTTCTTAATCACTAAGTAATGCAGTATACACTGCTATTTATACACAACAATCTTAACTAACTAACCATCACATCCTCCAATCTTATGTCAAGTGTAACAATCTTATCATACTCTAACAGGTATCTCCTCGGTTTCCATCATTGCCTCAATATTCATTTCGGTATTTTGGCATCTAACACAATCTGCTTAAGGTTAATATGTAATATATTCTAAAATCATAAAAACATCAAGACGTTAGGATCACAGATTCAATAAACCATATTGAGATCTCCCATAAAAACATCAAGGCGTTGGTAACAAAATACAATTTTTGTCAAATTAAAATCTCATATAAGAATAAGAGTATAAGTAAAATACAACATACTGTTTAAAATAATTAAGATCTCCTATTAAAACTTATGAACAAAAATTTACTATTAAACCATTAGCGAATAACACAAAAGGCAGTTTCTTACTTCCACTAATTAAAAGAGACAAAACTACATAGGCAAACTATTGCTCTTACTAATTAAAAGAGTAAAATAATCTTATAAACACCTACAAAATGAAACATACATCATTTAAATACTCCCACTGGTAAAGCATTAGTCATGGTTTCTACAGGCATAAAAGTTGTAAGCTTAACATCAACTACTTTCTAATGACTACTAGATAAAAGAAGGGATTATTATGACTAAAAAACTATACAAAACCATTATGTCAGTTCATCTAACATTTGACAAGAATAAAAACAACTTTAACTAAATGTTGTCTTATATTGCCACAAAATCATATAATTCGATAATCATCTTTGGAGAGAAATTGGTTATATTAGGTTTGCATAGCTAAAACACAAGAGCATTCATACATAGCTTTAACACTTTTGAGTAGTCAAAGTATATATAATCTTGTCAATCTCAAATTCACTATACAATTATTTATAGTTGATTGAATATGAAAACTACTTTTGAGCAGAATATACTATTCATTGATAACATATAAACCACAAGTTTAATTTCTTGAACAACAAACAAAAATTAATAAGCAAAACACTTTTGAGCAAAATATACTCTTAACTACTTGAATATAAATCTAATCGTATTGTATTTATCATTCATTATTGATAAATAATAATAGTCATTCAAAATAAAATATTCTTCAAATAATGTGTGGTCTTTGCATATTTCCTGCAAGGTTAGCTTTCTTATAACAAATAAAATACAAATATAAAATAATAATGTACATTTTATCTTTATGACTAAAACATGACCATTAGATACGTGCATAATTGATGATTGTGAAGTCCATCATATATTATTTCTCCCACTTGGACAAACACTCACTATTTTTAAGTCAAAATTTCAAACAAAATTTCAGCAAAAGTATCATGAACTTGAATATAAAAATTGATGTCAAAATTATAAGTGAGTTGAACGAACAGAAAACCGGTAGCATAGACTTATGCACTAGCTCATGTTGTTCAATATTCATGCAACTCAGGGGCCATTAAATATGAAACTTTGTAGTGTATAACAAGAGAAATATAGGTGTATCATATTCAAAATTCAAGTTATTGGAGACCATTAGATGAGTTGTTCAACAACTACTAGTCATGATACATAATTTACCAGAAAATGCGTTCATTTGTGTCAAAAGTATAGAGCCATGAAATTTCATGCAAAAAAAAACATTAGAAAGTCTACATTATAAGTTGAGCTTATGATAAAAGGTTGGATCAAAATAACATTCAAACAGGTAATACAATAGAGTTGTTCCAAAGGGAAGAGGTAAAACTAAATATGTTTTAATTATAAATCCAAAGCTAATTAAAACAAAAGAATTAATTATATCTTCTCATAATAAAATAGCACCTTGTACAACAATAACAACAATAATATTTGACCACGAAAAATGCGAACCTTTTTCTGAAATGATGAGGGTGAGTTAGCAGGTTTAATGCATGGAAAAAGCATAAACGCACTCTCTACAAATCCAATCTATCTAACCAAGGAGTAATGGAAACCTAGGAACCTTTTAACGCAAAGCTTTGATTGTTGTAGCCAAGAGTACAAAAGGACACTTGTCAAAATTAAATGCAATCTTAACAAATCAAGGGTGAAAAGCTCACTCAGATAAAAGGTGTTAGTTAATTAGCTCATGTGAGCTGTCTTAAATTGCTTACCTGCTCACATATGAAATAGCAAGCAAAACTAACCTGGTTGACTCACTAGTCATAATGCATAAAAATAAAAATAAAAAAAAAGTGAAATGCATATGCATGTACAAACCTTACATGTGATGAAGCAACACCATATGATATACCTTTGGATTATTCACTTTCCATCTTACTAGAACATGTAACAAGCGAAACACAAAGAATTAAGAAGCATTTGTACAATATGGAATTAAAGTCCTATGATCATACATAGATGTCTTGGTGACAATGGGCACACATTTTATACAATGAAGCATACAATTTACATTGAAACTGTTACAATAACACCGCTTTAGCTGCTTAACTGTAAGGAGTAACTCATTTTTATATTCAAAAGGAAAACTACAAAACAGCAGCATACACAAAACGATTCCGAAGAAATCCATCAGCATCATCTATGAGAGCTGGTCTAATCTAAACAGGCAGCACATATCAAATTGTACACTCATATATAGATGTACACATATAAATATGTACACTCATTATAAATACCGAAAAACAAAAATTTATACAAATATCAAAGTGTGACTCGTTCAAAAAGTGAAATGACTCCTTACATCATAACAGAAGTGAGTGTTTTACTTCTAGACCTCGGCGGACTTCTCTTGGGTTGGAGGGACCGGAGGCCCAAAAAATTGTGGAGCAGTAGGTGATTCCCTTCGGCCAGATGCCCTTCCAAGGAGGTAAAAAGCAAGGGCTCAAACCAATATTAACAATATAACCGGCGCTGAAACCACAACTACAAATCCCATTTTGTTTTGAAGCTAACAAGTCTCTGCATATCATAAACCATGCCTTTAGAGTCAAAAGTTAAATGAAACATGGATTCATCAACTACAAATACATGTTCAGTACTCGTTTTTAAGTTGTGAACGATTAGTTAAAACTGTTACGTCGATGAATATTTTGTCTATTGACATTCAGTCTTTGCTGTATCAGAGCAAAGCAAATTTTGGTCCTCGGTTCAAATCTCATAGACAGAGTTGCTGATAAAAAAAACTAAGAAAATGGTTATCTAGTCAGAGAACTTAGGAATATAAGAAACAAGAAAAGACAGAATAAGATGAATTTACCCATTAGTTGATTAAATTCTTGCTTTGTAAATATTTGATTGCAGACTTCAATGGAAACTCACACATTTCTGATTCCCTAGAAGTTCGTATACACATGAAAAAATTAAAGAAGTGAAACAATTCTCATACTCATTTCAATAAGCGCACGCTCTAAAATCATTGCACATGTAGAGGACTTACCTCTTGGGGTTTAATCTCTGGAAGTGTGGAACTAGAGCACAAGAGACTGAGACAGAAAGAATTGATGATGATGATGATGATGATGATGAATAATGAAAGATAGAAGATGTGTGTATCGTATTCATGTCCAACCAAGTCACTCGGTTGAGCTTAGGAGGGGGCCTGTAAGCTCTCCACGTCTCAGAAACCTGATCGTGGATATGGGCTAACGTGAGAGGGAGCAAACTAAGAAAATATACTCCACTCGTTGTTAGGGTTATGCCATTATGTATCCTGTAATCTTAAAAAAAGCACCGACTTAAATAAAACTAAAGTCTTGCTTGCTCCGCATGCGATATTATTATATAATATTGATTGATTGCTCTTTCGTTTCTTTGAAAAGGAATGGAGACTAATTTACTATTTTTCTTGTATTCTCTCAAAAGTGCAATCATTAAAAAGATAGTGTCAGCGGGTGGTTAATTGGTCTGGTAGTCTAAGTCTTTCTTTTAACTCATTTTGTTTCAAATTCAAATCATTTCTCTTTTGCAATGTAAATTAAAGTAGTATTATCGTTTTATTGAAAAAAGTGTTAAAATTAATGACTTTCAAGTTTGTTTTTGGTGGTAAAAAATAATCACCACTTTCAAGCTATTTAATTTTGCGCGTTATTTTACTTGATTTTATTGAAGTGAATTGTTATTAACACTTCAAAAATCTCATTTGGCACTCCAAACTTTCTATAATTAGAAAATATATATATATATACTTGTAAGGAGCGTAAAATGAGATTTTAAAATGCTAATAACATTTCCCTTATTCAATATGATTGGTTAAAAATAAAGAAAGAAGTGTAAATGAGTGATTATTCTTCCCCGACTTGCACAAACCCCACGCGAGAGGAATACAAACACGAACCTCGCATGCAGATCGTAAAATGCTATTAACCAGAGTACCAGTCCCTGGTGCACAACTTAACTCAGTGCACAAAATTATGGAGACAGGTGACCAAAATGGTCTAGATACTCAAAATCAGAAGTATTTTTTTGTCAGTATTGTTAACTGGCACATTAGTATTTGCATTCATGTCAAACATCTTGGATTACATCCCAGCCATAACTTCCTGCAATGGAAGAGAGATGATTGAAAACCCTGGGGGTTCCGGGGTTTTGCAAATTTCAATCTTGTTAGAACAAGTAACAGAAGCAAGCGAGCAAGCAAAGCATCTAAAAATTTGCAAAAACCAATTTTCAACCTTCCACCCATTTTCTTTGATGATGCTGCAATTACAGATCCAGCAATTCTTACCTATGTATATGTTAAAATACAAGGAAATACAAATTGCAGCGACGACTTTGATACAGAGAGAGAGAAACGGTCTTAACTGAGCGTTTTGATCCAGAAGATGAGCCGTTTTCCAAAATCAAACAGCTCCATAACCCAGTTGAGACATACTGTGTCTGTATGAAACTGAAAGCTATTACCCATAAGGAGCAGATGCCAGAGACTTGCGCGAACCAGGACCCTCATGAGTGCCAGCTGCTTTGTTGGATAATCTACGCTTGTAGCGTTTGAGGACAGATGCCAGATTTTCTTTTCCCTTTGGGAAAGCTACATCACCGGCTGCTGTCCCTGTCCGGCCCTTTCGACAAGAGATTGCAATCTCCACATCCTTGATTATGTCTAGAAGCGTTGCTGCAGTTGTGGATTTTCCCCTGGCTGGTTTAGCAGCAGGAGGTATTCCATTTGAAAATGATAAACTTGATTTCAGCTGGTGTGCAGCGGGAACTTGAAGGCAGAAGCATGGTGACATCAGAGAACGAGGCTTTGAAAATGCCGAATCAATAATCCCCTAGCATTAACACGATACAGAGTTAGTAACATTACTGAATTAGAAGCTTTGGAACCAAATATACATTCGAAGTCAATCTACTTGTATAAAGAGCACAAGTGCAAAGCAAGGAGACAAACTCCTGCAAAATTCACCAAAAAGTAACAACTGTATTCCACGTAGCTTGCAACAAAGGGTTGTTTTCTAAGTTGTGTTCAAGGCAAGCTTTTCACTCCGGCTTGAGGAGAGTGTCAGAACCAATTCAGTCTATTTAGGGTTTTACTTAACTAGCTACGGAATTTTAATTTATTCTAGGATTTCAATTCATGTTGTGGTTTGATTTCATTTCTGTTATAGCCGCATTTGAGACACAAATGTATTTTATTAGAGAGGGAATGTAAGTGTTTACCTGAAGCCGGTTGAGAACGTAGGTATATTTCCCCCATAGCTCTGGCCGGCTTTCCATAAGTGATAAATCAAGAATGCGGTGGATGCACCAAACCCCAAAGCTTACTACCAAATCTGCCTTCCATATACACCCCTCCCCACAATGAGGAACCGAGGAAAACATAAACTGACTCAAATCATTATTCTTCATTGCAGAAGCAGGCTTCCTATCTGAAGAATGGTACTGCGGTTCGCCCATTTGACCTGTCGGTTTATCTCTCTAGTTTCAGCTTCATAAAGAAATTTCTCCCTTGCAGCCACACGATCAATTAGATCCTCATCAACCCCATCATTTTGCGTAAACAACCAGTCAGACCCTTCCAATTTCAAAAGCTTCACAATGCAATGCCTGAAAGACTGAAGCAGCTTGGCCTCTGAATCTGCAACTGAAGTTGTTTCTTGGTTTACGGAACCTACTCTATTACCAATTCCACTACCAATAGTACGATTATTATCAGCCACACCAAACTGCTCAAAAGGCTGTCTAGACCAGAGCGACCCAGTGTTAAAAGTTGAACTCTGTTGTGATGACAGAGAATTGTAGACATTTGGAGAGAGTTCATCAAATGCCAAAGGAGCTCCTGTTCGTACCCCAGAATTTGAATCCAAGGATGATTCATAACCGGTCATCCCAGCAGATGATCCATACCCAAGAGGACTTTCCCAGTTAGCATTTTTATCAGGCATGTAAAGCTCCCGGTGAATGTCTGGTAAACTATGATATTTCTTTGCATTGGCTGGACTTACCACATTCTCAGCAATTCCAGAAGACCGTGGATCATAATACGGTCTTTCAGATTGCATTGGACTATTTCTAGATGCTGTAAAGTTCTGAAAACTGGAGGCCTGACCAGATCCTAACCCATTTTGCAACCTCTGCCCCATGGTAAATGCAAGTGAATCTCTGTAGTTTCCAGCACCCAACGAAGAACCGGACTGTAGGACTGATGGCTCCATTTGACCATTCAAGTTATCAGAACTTTTGTCATTTGCCATTTGATTGAGATATGATGCAATCTGATAATCATGTACTATGGCTGGCTGGTAATCCCAACTCTCAGAAGTTGGGATACTGCGCACACTTGAATAGCGCCTCTCACCACTCTCAGAAGTTGGGACACTGCGCACACTTGAATAGCGCCTCTCACCACTCTCAGAAGTTGGGATACTGCGCACACTTGAATAGCGCCTTTCACCACTCTCAGTAGTTGGGATACTGCGTACACTTGAATAGCGCCTCTCACCAGAGCCAATAATGCTGCGGCTTGAATTTTGCACATAGGTGTCTAACAACTGCATGTGGCTAGGCAACAATGAGGAAGATCCCCTTTGGACCGCATATGACTCTAAACTGCTTTGAACCCTATGCTGCTTTGCAGACTCATATAAGCTTGAGTTGATTAGAGAATCAGATCCTCTGCCTCCTGCGGATGGAAAGAATCCAGAAGTTCCCTTTGGACTGGTATCAACTTTCAGCGAGGACGACACAGACTTTGAATCTGATCCCAACAGAAGGTCCAGCTTTTTAGCCTTTGCGTCTTGAATTACATTCCCATGGAAATCATACAGTTGTCCCCAAAATTCATCAAGCACAGCAGCTAGTTGACGTCTTGCAGCACGCCCCAACCCTGCTAATCTTGAAAGGCTTCCTGCACTACTTCCTCCATCATCGCCTTTTCCACTTAGACTCCTAAATGATCCCGAGCCCTCAGAGGCCAATGGCGCAGTGCTCCCAGAAACCCCTTTTGATGATTCTTCAGGCTCCCAGGTATCTCCCTCATCATCATCTTTTTCAGTTGGTAAGTCTGCTTCAGCTTCAACAGTCTTCTCAATTGACTCTGTTGACTTGAACTTCAGTGCACTGGTGTCCTCCAATGTGACATCAGAAACATCATTAACAACAGTTGAGACTGGAAATGACTCCACTGCAGATGTGGATCCCTCCATGCAGCTTTTAGGGGAGCAAGGAAAGGTAATATGAGAATTATTATTCTCTGCTACAGTTGTTTGGTGAAGTTCCTGATCAGCCTCCATGATAGTATCAGGCAGATCCAGATCAAAATTATCAACTTCTGAATCAGCATCCAACCCAAATGATGGTGATGGTTCATGGCTCTGGACACTTGCCTCTCTATGATATTGAGGTTCAGCTCTGTTAATATCTTCTTCATTTGTCAATGAATCTGGTGTACCCTCCATCAGTTCCCAGTTCCACACCTGAGCCTCTAATCGGACACTTGCAGATTTTAACGGGGTAGCTGCTAGCCAAATCATCAAACCAAATGATGCACAAGCAGTGAGGAATAGTAACATACTACTCCCGCCATGCGACCTCAAACTACCACCCCATTCACTATTCCCAAAAATCATTTCTATTACAAATATAATTTTCAATCCAAGCATCCCAATAAGAGTAATCAGGGATAAGAATTCAACAAATTGTGAAATTTTATGGGCACCCATTATTGGTCTTGAAGCAGCAATTCGAAAAATAGGGATCACAGAAGATGGTAGTAGCAGAGCTGCCAAAACTTGTGTGAATATAAGCAGTTGATACATTCCTTCAGCTCCTGAACTCCAAACAAAATAAAGGGCTGGAACAATGGCAATAATTCTGATGGTAGCGCAATGAAGCCAACCAGGAAGGTCCACTTTCAAAAATTCATTCAGGACTACATCTCCACCCAGACTCCAGCTTAATGTTGTGATTTGATTTGACAGAATGAGAACCAGTAAGAAGGAAGCCGGTACTATTGGACCCCAAAAGACCTGCATAATTTCAGAAAAATATTAAATTGGCTCAGTATGCTGCATGATAGTGCAAGATTAAATTGGCCCAGGGGAAGAAAGTGCAACCTGTTCCATTAGCGACATTGCATCCTGAAACGCAAGTACAACAAGGCCAGAACTTGCCTCTGGACTGTAGAATAAATTTTCCGCTGAGGTCATAAGGACATAATTCACCATATAAACACAACTGAAGATGCATACTATGCCAACTAAATGGTTATGACACAAAGCACCCTTGGGAACAGTTGCCTGCTGCTGATATTGCTGAAAAAATAGAAAATTGGAGTTTCAGAGACCGTCACTGCAAATCAACTATCATATGAACAATTTTCAAGTAGTTAACAGTCAAGATACAGGAGGAGAAAGAACTTAGTGATGCAAGTTTATTAGTTGATGCACATGTTAAAATTGATTACTTTTGGCCTCCCTAGTCCAGAAAGAGAATATCAATCGCTTGTTAATGGAACTTTTTCTTTTCTATTTAGGAAAGAAGTATGGGCAAGTGTAACTTGGCGGTCTCTAACAAACTGCAATGACAATAAAAAATGGAACCATTTGACCCTCTTAATTGCATTAGTTCGTGAAGAAGTTATTTCAAACGAAAGGAATAGATGACTCAGCAACATGTCCTAAAAAGCAATTAATCTCCAAAACAAGAAAAAGATGGGCACTGCATATCCATGCATTAAATGTATATCTAAATAAGCCAAAGATGCACAGACAGACAGATAGACAGATAGACAGATATACAACAAGAGAATCAATGTGTAAATATGTATATTTAACAAAGATACAGATGCATGCATAAGCTCATATTCAGCAACATATGCATGGATGTGCAACGTAAATGCAGAGACTGAAAACAGGGAAGCGTGAGAAGCACAGATACCTGCACTATAGAAGAATGAAAATAAAGACTGTGAGGCATTATGCTTGCACCAAGAAGACTCATCAGTGCAAATGCACTCTCCCCACTCAGCTTTGTTAGCATCCCATTCATGGAACGGGGCATTTCTGGTTGACTGATAATTACTCCAAGAACAAAGGAAAGGAGTATGAATCCTGCAACATATATGCATAGGACCTTCGCCTTGCAAGTTTCCTGGTATATGGATACTCAATAATTATTTTAAACAATATTGCAAATGCGAGACTACAGAGAAATAATTGCAAGTAACAGAACTTACCAGGAAGGAGGAAAGAAGAGGGTATAAAATGGCATTAACAGCAGTCAAAAAGACACAAGTAAACAAGTGCCAACCAAACAGAAGATTAAGCCCATGTGCGATGCCGAGGATCTAGTAAAATTAGGGCAATCATATGTTACGAGAATAACAAATTTACATTCAACAATAATACAGATCATAACAAAATGCAACAGCTACAGCACAGTTTGGACAAATTGGGGTAGAGTGAGTTTCTGAGTATAGAGAAATTACCATGGTTAGGTCTGACAGAATCGCAGAAACCTCTGTTTGAATTCCTAAGGATATGCATGTGCCTTTGTCATACTCCTCACTGCATATCTTTTGACATTAACAAAATTCAAGAAACAAAAAGAAAATGTTAAAACTTGGCGGCTAACATAGAGGCTATGTGCACATGATTGTTTGTACGAAAGAGAGAGAGGCAAAGAGATCAAAAAAAAACAACTGCAGCCAATCAAATAAGAATATGCAACCAGAAAAGTTGTCCTGGTTAGGACGCAGCTCGAAAGCATGACCGCAAACAGAGTATATGCATAAGTAGTAGCGTCTCCATCACTACCATTTCTAAGAAGAATAATGCATTAAAAACCCCTTAAATCAGATAAAATGATACCTGTGCAAGATCTCTTCCGGTGACTACACCAATCCGAGCTGACAAATAGTGACATAAAATAGCTGCAAAATTGAAAATAAGCATCAATGCTGCGAGGTCAGAGCCAAAACGGGCACCTGCTTCAGCAGTTGCTGCCCACTTTCCAGGGTCAATATATCCAACTGAAATCAGAAGCACAGGTCCAACAACAGGAAGCAACCGCTGTAGAACACCCGGCATAATGTTAGCATTAGGATTGGTGGATTCCATAGCTATGGACTCTAGGAGAAACCAAATTTCCAGTGCAATGAATTACAAATGGCCTTCCTGAACTACTATGCAAAACTAGACTCGCAAGCTGAGGTAACCACTGCTTGAAAAGGAAAAGAAAGATAGAAGCACTTTAACTGCAGAAGTGAAAAAAGAACTAGCACCAACTGATTATGCCACAATACATGAACCCAATTTACTGTCTTTGGAGGACATAACTAGGTAAAGAAAGTGCAACCAATGACGATGGTGTGTTGCGCAGGCTATTCCAATACACTTGCGCAGATCAAACCTAACTTTTCTAAATGGTTACTGCATTGTAAACTTTAGCCCGTTCAATATTATATTCATCTACTGAGAATAAGCAGAGTGTCCATCCAATCCTCGCGAAACTTTGATCCAACTACTAGAATTACAGAGCACAACTAACAACAGTCACAACTCCAGCCATGGAACGAACTTCAACCGCTCCAATCATTCTGTACTCTGCCCTTGGCGTCAATCCTGATCCACAAAATCACATTAGTTTGATGCACCGAAGAAAAGGGCTAGTATCCAAATCAATGTAACATCACAACCTATTTTTATGACTAATTCAAATTTTAACATCATGAGTAAGCACATTAACCATAAACAATTCCACCTTCATAACATTCTTATCTTTCAAAAATTTGGTCAATCGAAATACTAGAACAGAACAATTGAGTACTGGTTTAATTTTGAGGTGTTTTTATAAAAAGTGGGTATCAAAAAAAGCTGAGCTTAAAAATGTGTTTGTAAACATTTAAAAAAAGCTTATTTTCACAGTTTTGGATGAAAAAAAAAACTGAAATCGTGAAGTAGAAAAAATAGCTTATTCTCACAACAACACAGAAGCAATTTTGTTTCAAAAGCCCAGCAATACCAAACCAGTCCGAATCAACCACTACAAGAATCCAATAGCAAACAAACTCCAAACAACATACTGAAGCAGAAATGCAAAAACCCATCTCCAAACCCATGTCAGATCCTTCCCCAACGTTACAAAACAAAACCAAACATAAACAGAATCAACATGCACATAAAAGCTCCAAAATAACAATAACTCAACGGTTGAAAGACATCCCAAAACCCTAGAATCCCAGTACGATGAGAAGAACACCAGAATCCATTGCCATGGATCTCAGGCACAGACAAAACCCAAAAGCCCATTTACACAAAAACCGAGGAAGAAGATACAAAAGGGGTTCAATCAATTGATCAATCAAAGTCAAAACCACAGACAGTTGGTTCCTTTGGGTCATCAGCTTTTAGGGTTTTCGAAATGCTATAGCTTACCTCAAGCTTCCTCTGTGAGGTTTCCCTTCCAGTTATATTGTTTTGTTTCAGTTTCTCTGCCAATCTCTATCTCCTAATCTAGAGTCCTACACAGGCAGTAGATCTCAGAGGACTTTAAAGAGAAACGGCTCAATTTTCCTGGCAGGAGAGAGAGAGAGAGAGAGAGAGAGAGAGATAAATTATGGGTGGGGTTTCAAGGCCATCTTGAAGAGAGAGAAAGGCAGACAGATAGTGAAAGTGAGGGATTGAGGAAAAGTTTCATAAAATGTGTCTTTTTTCTAATAAATATTAAAAATTATAATTATAATTATAATACAGATGGAAAGGTCCAAAAATCAGTTTCTACTTTTATTTATGAAATCATGTATTGCTTCCTATTTTTATTTTCTTTCTTTCTTTCATGTGGATTTTTAAGAGAAAATATGGAGTAGTTAGTAAGAATTTTGATATGACTGCTCAGAGGAGATATTCATTCATTCTTTTTGAAACTTGATGCAAATTTACACGGTTTGGACACAAACTATATGTTTTCTTCAGTGATGCAATTCATTTTCACTACCTAAGTGCTATCTCAAAAGAGTTTTTTGTTTCAGTTATTTATTTTCCACATACTTCAAAGATTTTCAACTATAGATCAGTACGATACCCGCTATAGATCCACATTTATCAACATAGTGAATAACAACCGTTAATATACACAAAGAAAACCGATACTAGCATTTACTTTCTTTTGAAGCTATCATTTTAGAAGTCATTAATTTAAGCCAATGCATTTACTTACTAATCATATTATGAATTTGTTGGGGACATCCGATAAAATTGGAACAATGTTGTGAATTTGTACATGGCAATAGAGGTTTATTACTTTTCTTTCTGTCTATTGTTTTTAATCATAATTTCTAAAAATATTTGTACATGGAATTTATTAAAAGTATTCCTCTTAGCATCCGTAATACCAAAGATCGACTCGTATGGTATTTTGAATGGAATGGAAAATTTTCTGCTCGGAGTGCTTATCATTTAGCACATCATGGTACAGTGTTAATGGGGGTGGAATCAAGACGCTTGAGTTTGAGTAGGGGCGAGGAAGTATTGTGGAAGAGACTTTGGGATGCTAGAATTCCTGGTAAAGTGAAGATATGCATATCCAAGTTAGAGCTGTTGGAGAACAATTTAGAAACAACAAAATAACAGAAATACAGAATCGAAATACTTATACTTTATTATTCAAAACTACTTGCAATACATAATACAATTACACAATAAATACAAAGATTATAATAAGGGTAAATTATAATTTCATACCTCAGGTTTGGGGTCTATTTCAATTCCTTACAACATCTTTAAAACATTTTACTTTTATACCTTAAGTACTATTTTATTTCAAAATAATACCTCCATTACATTTTCCATCCATTGATCCGTTAAATGCTGACGTGACTGCCAAATGTCTACCACATGGCAAATAAAATAATTTTTTAATTTTTTTTAAAAAAACCTGAATTTTCTCAAAAAAAAAAATTGAAACCCACATCTGCAAGAACAAGAACAAGACAGAAGAAAGAGGAAAGGAGCTGGGTCGGGGTGGGGGAGGGGGGACGAGTGGAGGGTCGCGGGTTGGGGGAGGGGGGTAGGGGAGAGAACGGGGTTCCTCTTCCTCTCCTCTTCCTCTTCTTCTCCTTCCTCTTCTTCCTCTTCTTCGTCTTCTGGGTCGCTTTTGGGATTTTTTTTTTTTGCTTTCTTCCTCCCTTTTCTTCTTCTTCTGGGTCGCTAGGGGGGGAGGGACAATTTTTTTTTCCTTTCTTCCTCCCTCTTCTTCTTCTTCTTCTTCTTCTTCTTGCAGATGTGGATTTCAATTTTCTTTTTTTGAGAAAATTCAGGTTTTTTTAAAAAAATTAAAAAATTATTTTATTTGCCACGTGGCAGACATTTGGCAGTCACGTGGCATATATGTGGTAGCCACATCAGCATTTAACTGATCAATGGATGGAAAATCTAACGGATGTATTATTTTGAAATAAAATAGTACGTGAGGTATGAAAGTGAAATGTTTTGAAGATGGTGTAAGGAATTGAAATAGACCCTAAACCTGAGGTATGAAAAAGTAATTTACCCTTATAATAATACTAACTTAAATGAATCGAAGGTAAAGGCTAGTGCAAAAGCTATGTCCTTCAAACAGTATTTATGTCCCACTCTTGTGCTTATGGTTCTACAACGTCTGCTCGACCAGGATACAACTACCTAATTCTACAACCCGCACTGAATTATAGAATTCTAGCGAATTGCTTTGTGTGTTTACTCTCTAAGAATTTTGTACAGAAGAAAGGACATCTGTCAATGGAACTGAGGACTCTAGTTATATAGGCTTTTTCATACATCTTCAAATACCTTTTGGATATATTTGAAGCTATACAACTCTTTGAAAGAGTTGTGTCTATTAATCAAAACGTTTTTAATTAATTTAATTAAAAACTTAATTCAAAATTAAAACTAATTGATCAGATTAATTTTAATTCCTTGGCCCCAAGTGCCCCAAGACCCTTGTCTTGATTAATTAATATTAATTTGTATTAATATTATGGTATAATCATTAAGCCTAATCCACACAATTAGTAGCCCAAATCTCAATCCTCATTCCAAATGGTCCAACACCTAATCACTAATAGAAAGGACTTGACCTATATAAAAACCTGTTGACAAATGGTTGTTTCCCGATGTGGGACAAGAGGAGCTCAAAACTCCATCAAGAGCGACTACGTTTGCTTCAAATTGTAGAATGTGTCTTTTGTACATGGAAGCCTGAGACAATTGAACATGTGCTTCGCGATTGTGATATGGCTGCAGCGGTTTGGTTAGCAAGTGTTGGACTTCAAGTGCATGATACGCAGCGACTAAGCATGTGCGATTGGTTAATTAAATGTGCTGAAAGTTCCTCGAATACTACTCTGGAGTTGATGTTCATGACCATATAGAGCTTGTGGAAAGCTAGAAACGATTTTATTTGGCGCAAATCTCTTACGCCCATGTGGAGATATTCCTATGTGCCAGGAGCTGGTTACTGTCGTATCATCAATGGCATGCGCCACCAAAGTCGAAGATGGTGAGGAAGACTCGTAATAATGGTTGGGTCAAATGCAATTTTGACGGAGCTTGGAACGAAAGGACAAAACAGGTGGCTTTGGTGTGGTTATTCGTGATCATAACGGTAGTTTTTTGGCTGCTACTTCTGGGAACCTTGAGAATGTCTGTTCTCCTCTGCACGCTGAGCTCCTGGTAGCGAGACAAGCTGCGATATTTGTCCAAGAATTGCCTGATTCTAACGAGGCAATATTATTATAAAGTGACTCTAGTATTGCAATGGCTGCTTTGAACAACAGGAGCGGAGATTTTTCTTTTCTTGCTCCTCTAATCAATGATACCAGAGAGTTTCCTCAAGGGTTTTGCTCAACTAGAGCTTAATCATGTCAGAAGAGAGGCGAACAATGTTGCGCATAGATTGGCTCGCTCAGGTGTTAGGAGAACTACTATGGTTTCGTGGTTTGAAGCTCGTCCGGATTTGATTCTAGATGGTCTTTTGGTAGATATCCTTATGTAATTTTAGTACGTATTGAGGTAATTTTTGTGCGGGATACTCTTTGTCTTTTTGACTGGGTTGAAAACCCTAACAAGGTTTTTATTGAGGCCTAGTTATGCACCATATCCTCCTTTTTGTAAATGTCTTTGTCATCTTAATGAATATCGTATTCTTTTCATAAAAAAAAAATCATAATTTCTAAAAAAATTAAAAAGAAAACAAAAGTGATAATAAATGTTCCATATAGGAGAGTTTGCTAGTTTGATTGCTCTCTATAGGAGAGTGCTTGGTTTTAATATTTTTTTTTGGTGTGCTACCTCTTTTGGATCTATGTGTCAAGGGTAGAGTTATTTGATTTGCTAGATCTACTTCATTTGGTGTTTTGGGATCATAGCAATGATGAGATGATGCAATTGACCATTGGCATTGTACTTCCTATCCTAATTTATGGTTTGAGATTTTGTTTTCACAAGATCTCCCTGTAACACGATGTTTAATAGGTTTTATTGATATGTGCAATAGGCCCAAATTTGAATTCACATTATTGTAGGGGAATCATGTGAAATCAAAATTTCAAACCACATTATTGTTTGTCCATTGTGAAACTAAGCATATTCCCTCCCCTTGGTATAGATAATATCGTTTGTTCAAAATAAAAAAAACAACCAAAGATCATGTGAAAACAAAATCGAACCTAAGACTTCTCACTTACAACAAAACTTGTAAGTGAGAGGTTTTATGTTCGATTGTTACCAAAGGTAAATTTGAATCACACTAGCCCATTGTAAGGTTAAGCATATTCATTTCCTTTAGTATAAATAATATCATTTGTTAAAAAAAATTAAAAATAAAAAATAAAACTACGTAACGGTGTAGCAATTACACCAAAAAATTGTTTCCTTGTCACACACCATTAATTGTTATAAATCTTCCTACAACCAAAACAGGAAATTTCTAAATTTGGTATTCTAAAACCGTAAATAATGACTTTGACCACACAAAAATGGGGGGAAATTATGATTTCCCATAAAAAAATAAAAATAAAAGCCACAATAATATCCAACAATCCCCATGAATGGCAAAATAAAGCACAAAGGGAAGCAAAATAAAATCTCAATAATATTTATGCAAAAGCCAGTACGTGCAGTTACAATTTAATCAATGCTTCGAATTTTTTATTTATTATTATTTAGTTTTTCAAACGTAGATTTTGTTAGATTAAATGTTAGAATAATCATTAGCTAAGTTTGAGCTTATATCATCATACAAAAGCTCAACACTTTTTCACTACTGTTGTAAAAAATCACCTGTTCAATGCTTCGAATTCAAGGCATGGACATTGCCACATTTCCAAAACATGACAATGATAACTAACATCGTATACACGAATTTGGGTTCACCTTTATTGTGAAGATAATATTTCCAACGGTCAACGATTAGCAAATTTTAACTGACCAATGGTTGAGTGCCATCTTACAATCGTCTTTCTATGGAGGAAAGCAAACTACCAGATAAAGGCCAAGAAAGGAAAGAGCTCGTGATCCTAGGTTTCATTTTTTTCAGGTCGTCTCATCTTTTTGACGATTGGCTTTCCACATCATCCTTCCAATTTTATGGGATGTTTC